TTTTAAATATTTATCAGAATGATGAGTCGTGAATGGATACTTTTGTTGATAGCGAAAAAATTCACAAATTTACTAGTGTTTGTATTTTCTTGTTGTTGATGTGAAGGTCTGAAAATAATCATTCTTTCGGCTCGTGTACATCCTGTCCAGATCATTACAACGTTGTTATTTATTAAGAATCCAAATTTTAAATGCTTAGTTCATCATAAAGTATGCGATGACAGTTACTGAAGGTAATTATTTATTATGAGTTGATACCAATGAAAAAGTTCTCTTTCTTAAACGGAACGGGCGAACAGTCAAATAAAGTTTATCAACAATAAATATAAAATCATACACTCTGTATTGGCTAGTTCAAGATGAATTTTTTAAAATTTTGAAGAGAAAAACCGGGAAGTTTCCTACTTCTTACTTGGACCCTAGTAATCTAGTAATTATAAAACACAAATAGATCTCAAGGTAGTATTCCAAGATCTTGAATAATATTCCAATGATTTTTGAATTCTTAATTAACCAGTGCTAGTGAGAACAATCCGTTAATCACTAATTGTTTTAAAACTAACGGATAATTTTGCCAATCACTTTGAATTGCATTCAAGAAGCTCTACAAAATTTATGCCAAGATTTGAGAATTACCCATTTCATCATAAGTTAACTCTAGATATTTAAAAATAGGTTTACATAAACTAAACTTATGTAGTGATTAAGGAGAAAGCGTGAATCTGTAGCTACTTTCAAGAAACCTCTTGTTTACACATACTACACATTTTTTGTATAACTATCATACCCATATGTACTTTTGGTATTTCAAATTATTTGAATTGTAGTATAAACTAAGAATCCCAGAAATGACGCGATTGAATCAAGAAGTGCCAGATGAGCACAAACGAATGTATTGTATTTAGAATTCGAAATCAAGCATTCAACAAGTACAAAAGAAACATTAGCTAATTCAAACACCACAGTACTCGTGGGGCCTAATTTTTCGGTGATAAATTATTGTTATCCTACCTAATTTGTTTACCAAAAAGATTGATTTACATTGCTTCAAGCTACATTCTATATTTGAAGACTAGTGATAGTTTTCAATTGCCAAAACCGAACTAAGTCAAGCTGAGCTTAAACTTTTAGCACTAGCCACCGCTCAATATATGCATTAAAAACAGTTTGTTTTTCATTAATGACACAAACAGAAGTCTTGAGACCGTTCCATTTTGTTTTATGCACCAAAATATGGATCCAAGTAAACTGAAAAGAAAGAACAGAACTGGTGTACTCGGACTGCTGAAAATAGGTATTTTACAAAAGGTTGACTGACAAAGAAAATAGACTGAAAACGATCTTCTGTTATTTTTTATACAACCTAACACAATCTAGATCATTGTCAACTGAATATCATAACTATACAATATAAGTACAGTTATTATGCATGAATACATCTAAAATATTCTATGCTGTGTGTTTATGAGAAATCATACTAAGAAACTATAAACAAATCTATGGGACATTATTAACTCTTTAAACATCACAGGCTAGCGTTTCAATGCAATAAAGATCATCTTCTTGATCTTTTATTATGCGGTCTAAAACATTTTTCTTCTTAAAATCAACTTCAATGCTTATTAGTTAGGAAAAAAATTAAACATATCTTGAGTTAATTCGTTATATGCTGAAAAATATTTTACGACTCTATATACTTTATTTATAAGACCGATTATTCGTGCTGTTCAAACGCAGAATAAAATTAGTTTCATCAAATACTTCTCGATATATATGTATATATGAATTACTTTACCTGTAAATTTCCTAGACTCTGGAATAACCTACCACAATCTATCGGTACGATAAAATCACTCCCATTATGTATTCGCTGCATACTGCTCCTCTGAAAATGCATTGGATGTGCTAGCACCTGTAGGTGTATCTCATTCCACAAGTGATATTATAGGAACTTTAAACTTTTAGCCATTTTTATTAGTGCATTCCCTAAGTAAAACCACCTACTTGCTGTCATTTTATGTTAACACCGTTCCCAGCAAGTTTAACTAATTTGAATAACAATAACAGTATATCACTATGACACATGCATTCTGGTAGACCTGAATGACATATTTTGGTAATTCCGTGCCCTCTGTTTTCGTTTTAATTGCTCCATTCATAAATCAACAGGCTATCCATTTAAGAAATATTAAAAATTCCCGGCTGATGCATTGGATCGCTGTAATACGGGTACCACCTAAACAATTACTGATCTAGTATACTTAAAACTTTCTTCTATCACGTTTGCTCTGTACATCTAATATTACTATTTATATCAAATTGATCATACCTGTGAACTGGCGTGAATTCTGTAATAATTAGTTTCAGAATATAATTTATTATTATACAGGGTTACGAGACTCACTGACTAATCTCAGTATGTAAAAGAATCTTTCTTCTATCCACGCAGTAATTTTCTTCTTATTTCGTTGAAATTACTCTGCTAGTTGTTTTCTCCCACCGTGTATTGAAAAATATTAGTGATTAAAATGGAATAAATGATGAATTTTTTTACTAGAATGAAAACTTGAGGTACATTTGGTTTACACTTAAGTATAAATTGGAACAGTTTCTCTTAGATCATTTATGATTAAGGTAGATATTTACTACAATAGATGTATCAGTATTAACAGTCTAATTGAACTAGAGCATGAACAACAAAGCAAAACATATCAGAATTTGTAAGTAGAATGAATAATTTTTTACGAATCTACACAAAAGTCGTTTCAAGATGATTTCTTATATAAATTTGGAATCAGTAAATTCCATATATTGGATATATTTTATACTATTCCGCATTACATAGAATTCTAGGTTCACCTATTTTTAGCAATCTTCTATACATTGACTACGAAAAAATTAAATATTTTAATGTAGTGAACAACTAGGATTCATTCTATATAGGTTTAGAAGTAAATAAATGTCGAAAATTCCAGGTTTAAAAAAGCCGCCCTTCAACAAAGGCGAACAACTATATAGTCCACCTTAATTTGTCTGATAGCTTACAAATTACAACTTGTTCGTCAACATACAATCATACTTCTTAATTAGGCCACATAAAATTTACCTTTAAAATGTGAACTACTTTTAAGTAGTTTTGTATTAGTTCTTCATTCCATTGACATGACGTACAATGATAGTCACTGAATGAGTCAGATCACACAATCACATGGGCAACAGAGCAGCTGAAGTTATTTCTATACTAAACGAGTATTTGAATGTCATGTGTTTTGATTAATTTGAAACTTAGTGTAATTCATTCATTCAATACAAAATATTGCGTATTACATTCTTCTCAAAACTTTATGTAAAGACTAGTGATGATTATCGCCTGTCAGAAATAAAGGGGTGGAGTGGGGTTCGAGACCGAAACCTAATGAGTGCTAATAAGGAAAACGATCCAATCCTTATACAATTCGTTCGTCCAATAGGAACTCATGAAAGAGAAAGCCTATTCATAAAATGAAGCATAATATTTAGGTGGACGAATTCGGCTCGATATTTACCTTTAATACGCTTATAAATCACCCCATTCCCTTTCCAAAATTTGTTGTTTTAACTGTGAAATGTTTCTGGTGTCAACTTATATGGTATTTCTAGTAACATCAGTGTTAAATAAGGGAATAAATCATCTATTGAATGTCTCTAGTTAACAGATTTATGAATTTGACATCGATTCTTTATCTATATAAATGGTGTGAATCAACATATTTTGTTGTTATTTATACTTTACTGGTTATTATAATGATTATCGACTGAGAGGTAGCTAGAGTTAGCTGGCAAGAAACTCTAAAGCTAAGTTTCCTGCTAGTTTACTCTCGTCCGTAAGGCTTACCTGAAATCTCGAGAGGATAGATGTTCGCACTGAAGGTCGAAAGAGGCCATCAAGCTTGTATCCAAGACGTTAGCATTGAGTCATTCAAAACTCGAGTGTCCATTTGTCGGCTACCTTTAACTACCTGATATTAAAGCTACATATTTTCTAGACTAGTGGCTACTCTGCAAATTGATCAACAAAATTCAATCCGCACTAAAGACTACACACACATGGCACTGATTACTAATGCCTGATAAACTTATACGACTATCAATTGCTTACATTTCCCTACGGAAAGTAGCTTATCAATTACTACAATTTATGAAAAATGTACAAGTCCAAAACAACTTAGTTTAAAAAGAAATCCTTTTACAGAATTTTGATTTCATCGTCTTTGCTCGGTTGATGACAAGAACAATAAAATATACGGTTTTATTTCAGATAACCAATCACTACCTGTATCCTAGTAACTTACTCATGAATACCGTTACGGCTTATGGTACTCTCTTCAAACGTAGACTGTGCTTGCTAACAACTTTATTCTATCGAAAAATAAACAGTAGAAGGCTAGCAAGCCCCCCCCCCTAGGTAAGACCGAGGGTGGGGAGAGTCAACTCTCCCTCTCGACATACTCTCACATAGCCACAAGTATAGTCACTGCCACAGAAGTCCTACTCACTACCTTCTCGTAGCGGGCGTGTTGTTTACGAAACTGAAAGGACGGAAAGTGAAATGTCCGGTGCTTTAACTCAGTTGGTAAACACGGAGAGTCCACCTAGTGGAGTTGGGAAACCCTGATTCTAGATCAATCGTGTACATGGACTTCAGGATCCTAAGGAAACAAATAGCGTATGAACCAATTATTGGTCACCGACTACCATGGGACTGCATCTCCTGACGTTGCTTCACTGCCTTGTGGATCAAACCTTTAGGTCAAGCGCTTCGGGTGCCCCTCCCCAAAAAACCACCTGCTTCAACCTGGGCACTCATGCAGAATGTTTAATCCTTTTTGGAGTAGGTGTTCTTACGTATTTGTTAGTGGTTGTTTTGACAGATTGATCATGCAGAATCACAGACCATACACAAACCAAGTGACTTGTATGGTGCATATGTAATCGGTGCCCCTTTGTACCAATATTTATGTGTTCAAATAAATAAATGAAATTGAGATTGAAATATTATCGTTTGAAGAGGGGCCGGGTGACATTTCGCTTTACAGTACAAAAAGCAAATGAAGCTGAAAATCTCGGCTGATGAAAAAGGAATAGGAGGCCCTCCTCCCGATAAAAGTATAGTTCTGTCATAAATGACATCTGGGAACTAAACAAAAGATATAATCTGTTTAAAATAGACAAAAAAATAACAGCCACGTTGGTGAGAACTTCTCTGAAAAGAAAACACAATAAAATAATCTTATGATATACATCAACAATACAATCATTTATCCATATAATTTACTGAGTAATGCTACATGGATGGTAAAATGACACTACAAAGAAATATAATGAAGATATAAAAATAACTAAACATTTTTTTCAGACTCTGGTGTTAAAAAGCATTATTCTAATGATTCATAATATTTGTTTCACCTTTCAAACACTTTGCATTTTATGCACAAAATAAATTTTATTGGTTCATTTGCTGATTTCGTTCTTTTTGTCCAAATGATATCTCGATAGAAAGTGTAATTAGAATAGACTATACAAAATATTTTAACGTATACAAAGATTACAAAACAAATAAATAAAGTTGAAGGTAGATACATACAAAAAATAGCATTATTTAATTATCATATCGACTAAGTTAAGGCTAAGGAATCAAACAGTTTTGGTAGAATATCACCAGATTTTCCTTGAAAATGGTATCTAAAATAGAATAATGATGTAATGTTGAGAGAAGGAAAGAATAACTTGTTATTAAGTACTTATAACAATTAAATTAATATCATGAATGGATCAATGTTAGAACACTATTGAAAACCTGGGAGCACTGGACGGCCGTCTCGTCCTAGTATGGGACTCCTCAGAAGTGCGCATCCACGATCCCACATATAGGACTCGAACCCAGGACAATCGGTCTTGTGTGCGAAAGCTTAACCTCTAGACCACTGAACCGGGACACACCGGTGTTAATGTCTGACTTCAACCAAAGGTTCCGGATCCGAGTCCCGCGTGCGGAATCGTGGATTGACACTACTGAGGGGTCACATACTAGGACAGAACTCCCGCCTAGTGCTTTCCGGTCTTTAACTGTGGTGTAACATTGATCTATTCATGATATCAATCTAAACTCAACAATCGCTTTTCGTCCTCTCAATTTCGTAAACAACACCCCCGCTACGAGAAGGCAGTGAGTAGGACTTCCCTGGCAGAAGCTATATACGCGTGGCCATGTGAGAGCATTTCGAGAGGGAGAGCGAACTCTCCCCACTCTTGGCCGTACCAGGGCATTTGGGGGTCGGCGCTTTAACCGGATTCCAAACTAATGGTGCACATGGGCTCCAGTATCCTGAGGGAACAAATGGCGTATGAACCAATTGTTGGTCACCGGCTTCCATGGGACTGCATCTCCTTACGATGCTCCACTGCCTTGTGGATCAGACCTTCAGGTCAAAGGCTCGGGGTGCGGCCCCCTAAAAAAACCACCTGTTTCGGTTTGGGCACCCGGGCAGTATCACAACCCTCACACATATCGAATGAGATTTGTGTGGCGCATATGTAATAATAAACTCAACAATCTCCACAACCCTATGCTGGTAGTAACATATGAAATTATTAATATGCGCTTAATAAGAAAGTTAATTACGGCTAGTGAAAATTGAGGAACGAGTGGAATACCATAACGTTCCCATGAAAACAATTATCTTTGAGAGGCTAACAATTAAATTCTTCTTACATGACAATTATCAGTTAGGATGAACTAGCACCCTCGTGTTAAAATTTATACTGAGATTGGGACCCAGTATCAATTGCTTCGAACGCCAACACACTATCTAGCGAAGACTAAAATACTGAAGAGCAGCAATTACGAAAGTAAGCTGAAAACACCGTTTGGTTTGATGATACAAAGAGGAGAGCATAACATATGGTATCATTAAACTAAATGGGTTTTTTTTCGGTAATTATTACTTTCCAAAATTCATGTTTGTTACGTCATTGTAGAATAACAGTCAAACAATACAACACATATGTTATAGTTTTGTCACTTTGTTCATTAATTGACTTTTGTAAACTAATATCTTATCACTAAATTATGTGACTTTTGTTCCCACTAGCTTCTTACTAATTGTACATGACTTCACTGGACAATCTTCTTTCTAACTAACAATGTGGGACAGTGTAGAAATTAACGGAATGTGTATGGATTAGAATGACAATAATTTATGGTGATAAAATAAAACGTCAAAGTGAAACAAATTCTAACATTTATAAGTAATTACATAACAAAATCTAACACCATAATTATTGTTAAAGAAAAGGAATATTGATAAAACACTAACTGTAATAAATGAGTGGCTGGAGTAACTTCTACATTGATTTCAGCGACAGGAATTCCACGGTTGGCTAAAGATGGAGCAAAACTTGCAGCGGGATAAACAACAGAACTAGTACCAACAACCAGACAGACATCAGCTTTCTGAACTATTTCATCAGCTCTAGAAAGGATATGTGGTTCAAGATTTTCTCCAAACCAAACAACATGTGGTCGTAGCAGTCCACCACATATATTACTGTTAATAAGATTTTGACAACGTGGTAACTGAGATGCAGGAATTGGCTCGTATGGAATAATCTCAATGATTGGTGAACTGAAAGTGAAGGGAATTCACGTTTACATAGTTTCATAGGAGTTGGAAACAACCAATGTTTAACTAGGTAGATCAATTTTATAACAGTAATAGAACGATAATGAGACTTTCATAATTAAACTTTGACAAAAAGATATATTTGAAGAACTCTATGAATTACATATATACTAATGTCATTTGAACAGTTTTGTGCTAGCGATTTTAACAGTACATTCGATTTTCTCACACTAAACTAAACGGACTGATTTACAATTGAAATTCGAACTCTATTAGTAAAGATCGAAACATTTACAAACCAGTAACTAGATATTAGATAAAGTTAAATTGCACTGTATCGAAAACTACAAACATTCAAACGAATTACTCAATTCCATTGAAATATATGCTTGTGCATATGCTCACTGATATAGTCTGTCACATATATAAAACTATGAACCGAGTATTTTACACATTTGTATCCTTTTGCATAACTATTTACATTGTCAAATGTATTAGTCAGTCAGTCAGTAACAACGTAGAACTTCGTACGTACGTACATCAATTCGAGTTGCCACACCACATTAGCACAGAGATGCAGTTGTCGATTCAAATTCCGTAGTGGTAGAGGTAATAAGAGTATAAGCAGTAATCAGGAAGATTAGCGTTTGGAGATGTTACTTAAAGAGTATAATACAGTGAAATAAATTTGGGAAGAGAAAAAAAGAGACAAGGAGGAATAAGGAGATCGAAATTTGGGAGAACACAAAGAGTGGATGCACCTGCGCCATTGCAAACGATTTTGAGCCATGTCATTCAGGGTCTCTAACCATCGGTTGCTATCATCTGGCGGTCCCCAACCAGGTAGTCTACACCTACCGACATGACTCAGACCACTTGTCAGTGACTTCATGAACTTGTGCCATGTTTTGGTCTGGCCGCCCCTAGCTTTCTTCCAACCTACTCCTATACCACTGAACATAGCACGTCGAGGCAGTCGATCGTTGGGCATATGTAACACGTGTCCCAGCCATCTCAACTGATGAAGTTTCACCACTTTATCAATCGATTTGCCATCCTTACCTAGTACCCGTTTCCTAACAACTGTGTTACTTACTCGATGGTCCCATGATACACGAGCAATGTTTCGAAGAAACCTATGATCAAATACTAGTAACCTACGGATATCCTCTACTCTTACCGGCCATGTTTCACTGCCATAAAGTAGGACGGAATGAACTGCTGCGCAGTAAACACGTCCTTTGGTTGATAGACGGATATCTCGCCTACGCCATAAATGACGCAAGTTGGCAAAAGCTAGTCGAGCCTTCTGTATCCGTGCTGAGATTTCGTCACACACTAAACCACAAGGGCTGATGAGACTTCGAAGATAAGTGAAGCGGTCGACACACTCAACTACTTTACTCCCTATCACTAGTTCGGGTGTCGATGTAACCCAATCCTGAAGCAACATTTTGCATTTCGAGGGAGAGAATCGCATCCCGAGCATGCTTGCATTGTTGCTTAGAGTGGTCAGAAGACTCTGCATTTTGTCAGCGTCTTCACCAAATAAAACTATGTCATCTGCATATTCTAAGTCAACAAGTGAACCTCCCGGTACAAGTTCAACCCCTGGAAATTTAGATGAGGAGAGTGTTATCTCTAAAAGTACGTCGACGACAAAGTTGAACAAGAATGGAGAGAGTGGACAGCCCTGACGAACACCACTTGAGGTAATCAATTCTGATGACAGTTCACCATAAGCTCTCACTCTACCAGTTGCGTTCGAGTAGGGAGCCTGTATAAGGTTAATGTACTTCTTTGGTACTCCTTTCAATGACAAATACTGCCATAGAACCTTACGATCAACAGAGTCGAATGCCGCCTTGAGGTCGAGAAATACTACGATTGTGAGGTGTCTGAACGTGTGTCTATGTTCTAAGACCTGACGTAGTGTGAATATCTGGTCTATACAACCACGTCCAGGTCGAAAACCAGCCTGATTTTCTCTAGTCTGCTCTTCACGAGCTTTGGTTAGGCGTCGAAGTATTATTGAAGCCAATATTTCAGACACTATATTAGTCAAACTGATTCCTCTGTGATTGTCACAAGAGGACTTTTGTCCTTTCTTAAAAACTGATTGAGACCAGTCAGATGGGATTACGTCCAGTTCCCAAATTCTACCTAAGACCCCAGTTAATCTCACTGCTAATACTGGACCACCATCCTTAAAAATCTCAGGAGTAAACCTGTCAGGGCCTGCTGCTCTCTCTCGTTTCAGATTTTTTATGGCTTTTTCAACTTCGTAAAGAGTCGGAGGACCTACACTAACTTGCCATTCAGGTTGACTAGACATCGTGGGAAACCGAAGTGTGGCTGAAGGCCAGTTGAACTGATCCCTAAAGTGTTCTGCTCATCGATCCAATCTCCTGGATTGAGAATGTATAATATGTCCATCTTTCTCTGAGAGTGTTTCGCTAATAGTCGGTTTCCTTAACAAGTCTGAACAATGATCTGCTATTACCTATTGCCGCTGCCTTTTCCATCTCTCTTGCTTTCGCTACCCACCACTGTTCATCATCATTGCGTAGGCTTCTTGTCAGCTTGCGCTTAAGCTGACTCCGCTCCTCATTATGTTCAGAACCAGGTGGAATGAGATTCCTTGCGGGTTACCTTACTGGCAGATATCACTGCTGTTTCCACAGCTTTTCGGATATCATTCCATGCTGCCTCGGGGTGGGCATCACCAACATGACTGCCTAACTGTTTTTCTAGTTGTCCCTGAAATATACTCTTAGTTTGACTATCATTAAACAGGGCCCTAAGAGGTTTCCTTGAAGCGTCTTTCCTACGTCCAGTAAGACGCAGACAAATACGCGCTCGTACTAGAGCATGATCTGAATCTAAGCATGTGCTCCAGAATGAGCGACAGTCTTCTATCGAGCCACTCCATCGGTGGCTGATAGCGATGTGATCTATTTGGGTCCAACGTTGGGACGAATTAGGGGGTCGCCATGTTAAAATATGTTTTCCCTTATGCCTAAAGTTAGTATTTGCAAGGAACAGGCAGTTATCTGAGCATAGCTGCAACAGACGGTCGCTATTATCTGTTCGTTAAGCCATGACACTGTAAGATCCACCCAGGTGTCTCTCCTTTTCGCTTAGTTTACCTACTTGAGCATTAAAGTCACCGGCCATTATTACTACATCCGAGCACCTAGCTTTTCGGAGAAGGTCGGAGAGCTTTCTGTAAAGCTCATCTTTTACATCATCTGCGCTGCAGTCAGTGGGAGAATAAGCAGAGACGACGAAGAGGCAACGACGAGTGTCCCCATCTTTTCGGATTCTTACTGTTCCGTTTAGACGGACAGCGCACAAACGACTATCTACTGGGATCCACTCTAAGAGGGTTAGTTCTGCCCTAGGACTCAATGCTATACCTACGCCGGCGAGGCCAAGGGAAGCAGAATCAGGGCTTCCAGATACACGAAGTGTGAATCGAGTCGGTTCTCTATTTTGGCATGGTGGGGTCAAGTGAATGACGCTACTCGGATCCTGTATGCGCGTTTCGGAGACGCAGCACACACCCATGGCGCGAGATTCTAAAGTCCTAGTTAAGGAAGCCTGTTGTCCTGTTTGGCATAATGTTCGGACGTTAAAAGCTCCTACGTGTAGTTTAGAGCGTGGTTTCAGGAGACCAGGAATTGCATTCCGCGTACTCGAATCGTTTTCCCTAACGGTGCGAGGTGGTAAAGAGACGTGAGGAGGGTTAGTCGGGGAGATAAGAGTGGTATAAGGAGGTGTAGGAAGGATTTAAATGTGACCAACTTGGTCTCGTGTGCTGTTACGGGTATGAGGGTTGGTGTCACTTCCCGGCTGCCCACACCGTGGAAGGGTATTTCTTGAGGAACCTGAAAAGGAAATTGAATTAGTGTTGGTCTTAAAGACCTGGGAGCGTGACCGCAGAGCCCAAGGGACAACTGCTTGAGGACGGTCGCGCACGGCCTTTTCGTGGAAGGTTTTTAGTGTGTTAGCTCCGTTCTTCAAAGGGCCTTACCGCCGGAGGCGGAAATCCGTGAGGTCAAATGTATTAACTGAGATACAAATTATACAGTATGCATTAACTGTGAAGATCATTTGTAAAATAAACATTTTCAAATCATAGTCAATATGATAAAAATAATTAACAAATCAATTACTTACCCGCGACCAAGTAATGCTGCACATATCGGACTGTCAAAATTCACTCGAATGTCACTGCACTTTAAACATCGTGTTTTATAAAGGTTTCCTGTTAATAAAAGACAAGTTTTATACAAAAATGAAAATTTTCATATTATGTAACTTAAGTATATAGTTTTCGTTTAAAGGATCAACATAAAGGTATCCCAAAACATAGATTATAAATGCTGAAAGAGCCAATTAAAAATATTTTTATCCAACTAGATTACAACAAACAGAACATGCTACACAGACAGCAGAATTCTTTCAACTTTGTCAATTTAAAGTCAGCTGGTAACATTAATACGATACGACTAAATTAATTCGCTTCACATAAGCCACCGTCAAGCTTGGTTAGAAGACGGGTATTTCATTTCTTCAACTGCTAATATATTAAAAAAAACCTAGTAACGGAAATGAGTAGTAAACAAACGCCAATTTTGTTGAGTAAGGCATAAACGTTAAGGTATGAAACTTGAGATTTTAAAATGTCGACCATTGAAGTTGGGTCATTTTGATGTTGAGTAGCCACCAGACTGAATTGTTACTAATAATTTTGTGTTAACTCTACTTTTATTTCTTCTTACCTTACTACCAGAGTATTTAAAGCAAAAGGAGGCACCAAATACATATGCGCCACATAAATTATTCGATTTATTTGAGGGCTAGGATACTGCCCGGGTGCCCAAACTGAAGCAGATCAGATGCTGACTACAAAGTTCATCATACTAAAGATTAATCACGCACAGACCTATTGCATATACAAACGTACACAATGACTTTGAGAACTAAACATCAGAGCCCAATGAAAGATATAAACACTGTCAGAAGAACGTTTAGGACAGAGTTGGCCATGACTGACTTTTTAGTTTACAATGGTAGCAACTCAAGAAATATTCTGATGAGAAACTACCATTTATGCGCTTGGACATACCGTGCAATTCCAATACATTAACACTCCCTGCTTTGGCATGAAGGCCATCCACATTCTGTGTAATGACAAAGAATGAGCGACCACATTCAGTGTATTGTTTCTCTGCATGGGCAAGAGCTATATGTCCAGCATTAGGACATCTACAACGGACGACTTCACGACGGTAATGATAAAACTCCCAAACCAAACCAGGATTTGAATGAAATGCATCGGGTGTAGCAAGATCCTTCAAATAACTTTTTTCACAATTATTTTTAAAGAAATCACCTGGGAAGAAAAATTCCTCCATAATCCACCTGATCCTCTAAAGGTTGGAACATGACTTTCAGCACTTATACCAGCACCAGTCAATACCAGAACATTGCGTGACTTAGAAAGTACACTTCTAAAGTCACTGACATCTGAATAGCGTTTAGAGAACTGCAAATTAATTCCCTAGGAGAGAATTTTTAATAAAGTTGGAAACTCGAAACCACACAGAAATTTTTTTCATCCAAAAACGACAAGTTAGATGGTTCATTGGATCTAAAAGTTTGAAATGGTCGTAGAAAAAGCAAAACTATTGAATATGTATTTTAAAACTAGCTTACAAACAAAAAATGATTACCAGGTATTACATCCAGAGACTTAAATAAATATATGTAAAAACTTATGTTAAATGGTAATAAACTGACGAACAATAACTTATAGATCGGAAAATTGATATTAGTACCATCACTATCTCGAGTTTGGGTGAGAAACATAGTAGTTTATTGGCTTAGAAGTTCAGTTACAACTTATTCTCATAGGCTTAACTAATGGTATATAACTAGGGTACTTACACTGAAATAGTGCAATCGGCTAGCTGTTTGAATACCTTGCCTATATTATAGCAGTAAAAACTATTTTATTGTTTTGGAAACGGTAATCTCCCTCAACATGATATATAGATATTTGATTGGATAATTTACGTAGTCACTTTATAAGCCTTGAATTATAACTTAAAATTTTACCCTAAGATTATACACACCAGAGAATCTTTCGTAACCTCATTCGTGTGATAAAGTTTTCAGCGGTTGAAATAAATTTATGACATTAACCTTACAAACGGTAAGTAATGACTGACTACAAAAAAATATATTTGTGACCTATTCGAGTAGTTGAAAACTAGAAACTTACAAGAACGAAAAATATAGAGAAAACTATAATTGGGAACGTCATCAGTTAAAAAGTAGACCAATTGGCTTAGTAAATAAACAAATAGCACAAAGATTCCAGTGATTCACAAACTTTCTAATGGTTGAATGTATACGCCAATTAGATGTATGCTAAGCCACTAATACTGGTCGAAGAAATTAATGTGTATTTGAGATGAAAGTCAGTGACTAACCTTATTTACTTTACAGGGACAATCACCAGACTTCAAGGTAAAGATAAATTAAACTAGCAAAATTTTCGTCCCTCCAAAAACGAGGAGAAATCCTGTGTAAATAATTATCACTTTGAAAAACGTAATAAGAAAAATACCATTTTTGATAACTACTTGATACCTTTAATCCTGTTGAAAATGTTAGCACGAATATAGTGATTTACGACGTAATCATGTTATATGACTTATTTATTACTTAAACTGTACACTAACATTACTTATTCCCATTTATTACTTCATATCGTTATATCCCAACGTTTGACCGTCTTCACTGCCAATTTAACACCTTTGTTATGCTTAACTCCCACACACACATACACGTAGTAAACAATATCGCGAGAAGCATTAATGTTTTCAAGTACTGGCATCGTAATGAATCAAACCGAGGAACGGAGTACATGAAGAGTATTTAACATTAATTATCTAACGTTAATAGGGGGTCGCAGTTCGTAAAAGAAACAAAAACAAGTCACAAGGGAACAAAAGAATACGCGACAAGTCAATGGTACCACCGTCTTATCCAACTCACAGAAGTACCACACATCATTTTGTGGGGGAGGCAATACAATGTCGGAAATTAGGCTTGACAATCAGATGTTAATTGATTGGTGAGTGACTTACAAACTAAAATACCATTGTATCAGACAAAAGATGAGTTATCATGGAGTTCCGGCCAGTACGTCTGCTTTACAGGACTTCAAATTTCTCTACTTCACTGGGCGAGGATATTATTGTCACTGAAATACTTTTAAACCATCATCTACATCAATTTTACGAGACAATTCAGAATATACCTATTTAAAACCACCTCACCTCAGTTTTCACGACCCTCCAGAACTGAAGTGAAAGCGGAGATTCTGTACACGGATAACACGAAGCGACCCGTTAGATGGTACGCTACCTTGGTTTTTTGACAACCCTTCAAAAGTACCGTCCACTGAGGAGGTTACTGAAGGCTTGAAGGTCAAACCATCGTAAAACGATTGGTGCGCAACTTCGACAATTCGTAGGGTTTTGCAGAAGCGGTCAAATCAAGATATTTTTAGATTTGAATTGAGTTTAGCCACAGTGTGTCTGATAAAGCCCAACCTTCAAGTAACGAAAGTGGTGCCATCGCAATGATGCATGATACAGGATGAATGTTCGATGATATTATGTTGTTTAGACGATTTACAAATTGGGACAATTTGAGACTTGTTGGAAAGAAGTACATAAGGTAATATAACCTATTAATGGGTCCTATCAGTAAGATACGTCCCCACTGATATCAGCCACGTCCAGATATGTGTCACGTAGCGGAGAAAATTATTCATGAATCATCAAATTGTAAATTTGCTAATATTAGCAAACCTTAGTAATAGAGATCATGTCTAGTTAGTAGCCCGATGTTCCTAACGTTTTCGTTAATTGTTTTAGATTTAGGTTTGTGTAGTAAAGACAGAAGGCCTAAGGCCTATGTTACTCCGTTTTTAGTATGCTTCTATGAATGTCCAGTCTCCTATTGAATGAATCTGTAACAGCTTAGGTTGGTTGGTTAAGAGTTGACCCCAAACAACCAAGCATATGCCAAAACAGTATTGTTCAAGTATTCATTCACTTCCTTGTTTTGTATAAGAGTTATATTCCCTATTATCTTATATTGAATGTTGAGAGCCTTTGTTTGTCTGAACAGATAGTCCCACGCTCCACTGTTACCGCGCTGAGATCGAAATAAAGACCTATTCACTACTTGTCTGGTTTCTTCTATCAATAGCACGAGGGTTACTTTAAGGCACGAAAAATCTACTGAAGCTGCGGACGCCACTGCCTCGAGTAACCGGTTTAATAAATTGATGACTTGGTGTGAAAACCTGTGTGCCATGGGTATTTTGTCCGTTCTTTTCTTTTCTACTCGCCTGCTATGTCCTCTGAGATGTCCCGATCTAGTGGGGAGAAAAAGAATATATTAGGTTCAAAATCATTTCTTAGTATTCCACACATCAATATAAAATTACCTTTTAGTCTGTGATAGGATAGAGTAAAGAGTTATAGCTTTTCAAATCGCTCTTTTTATGGTAAACCTCGGAGTTCTTGAATCGCACAGGTAGCAGCCCTCCGTACTTTTTCAGGATATCCGGGTCACAGGGGCTTGCGGCCTGAGCGCAATTCTCAGGCTTAGTTCTCATTAAGGTTGTGTATACTATGGTGAACATAAATGGTTCAAATGGTTGTGGACGGAATAGAAGAAGCTTTCGCTTAACAGGCTTCCGTGTCTAGTAGCAGGGGATCACCAAATCCTCCAGGCAGGAACCTAGGTATGTTAACAATAAAAAAGGAAAAGAAATTGGTAAATCATAATGTGATGCTGTCCTTGGTCCTTAAGAATAGGTCAAGTTGCCTCTTGAAGGACTCCTGAGAAGTCGCTTGGACTAGCTCGGCCGGCAGCGAATTCCAGCTTTTGACAACTCTTAAGGAGTAGAAGTTGTGTCTACATTCCGTCTTGCTATGTTGTGTTTCCAGTTTCTGGGTGTTACCCCTTAGGTCATTATTCGAACTAAGCTTAAGTAGGTGTTTAAGAGGATGTCCAGAAGTGTTAAGAATACTATAAGCCATTAGTAAATCACCTCTAAGACGCCTATATTCTAGTGGGTAAAGGTCTAGTGAACGGAGGCGTTCTTCGTAAGGCTTAGATTTGAGTCCTCGAACTGATTTCGTGGCTCGCCGTTGGATACGCTCCAAAGTGACCTTGTCCTTTTGGAGTGAGGGGGGGAGTACTATGTTTCCGTACTCTAAATGGGGACGGATGAAACTATTGAAGATTGTATGGAAAGTTCGTCCGTCAAACTGTCCAAAAATGCGCTTCAACGTTACCAGTGCAAGGTTTGCTCGGAAGGCATTTTTGTCACAGTTAGCGTAAGACTTCAAGTCATGGGGCACCAGGACTCCTAAATCTTTTTCGACTTGGGATGCTACTAGAGAGGAGTTTCCTAAGTTATAACTGTAGTTAGCGACATGTCGCAGATGGACTACTTTACACTTTGAAGTGTTAAAGGTAAGTCCGTTATCGTCTGCCCAACTTTGAAGTCGCGTCAGATCCTCCTGAAGTGCCTGTGTATCGTCTTGGCTGCGTATCTCTCTCCAAAGTTTCACGTCGTCGGCAAAAAGTAATAAGTCTGACGTTACTTGTTAAGGAAGATCATTTATGTAGATCAAGAAGAGAAGAGGCCCTAGTACTGAGCCATGGGGGATCCCACTAGGACATTCCATAGCCTGAGATAAAGTGAAATTAACCCTAACCTTAAAGTGTCGATTTTTTAGGTATGAAGTAAGCCAATCGATTAGAGGTGGTTTGATACCTAGTCGTTTGAGCTTGTTGATAAGACACAAGTGGTTAACCTTATCAAAAGCTTTTGAGAAATCAAGGTAAACATGATAGTATCTAACTTAGTGAACGTCTGTTTTAAAGCCCAGAGTGTTTGAAACCCCTTGGCTGCAACCTTCCGGCGATGGGTCGTGGTCTGAAGGTCACGAGTCACTGTCACTCCGAGATGATGATCTTACAAGTATAGTGCAATCTCCAATGTTATTATACGCTGACGATGCAATAACTGGGGACAAAGACGCATTTGCTCTTCAGGCAAACTTAAATAATATGATAAAACTGGTCTAAAGAGTGGCTGATGCCTATCAACACGGCAAAGTGTGTCTACATACACTTTGGGGATTCAAAGGTTAATAGGTACAACATAGGGGATGTGTCATTACCCGTAGTCCGGTCTCATAGGGATCTAGGGGTGACAGTGAGTAATGATCTTAAGACGACGGCCCATTGCCGGGAGGTCGCAGCCAAGGGGTTTCGAACCCTCTGGGCTTTAAAAAAAACATTCACTAAGTTAGATACTACCATGTTCACCACAGTATACACATCCTTAGTGAGGACTAAGCTTGAGAACTGCGTTCAGGCTGCAAGCCCCTGCTTAAAAGGTGACTCGGACATACTAGAAAAAGTACAGAGGGCAGCTACCCGTGCAATTCCGGAACTCTGGGGTTTATCATACAAACAGCGGCTTGAAAAACTGAACCTCTTTACTCTGTCCTATCGCAGACTAATTTTGATGGGCAGAATACTGAGAAATGATTTTGGACCTAACTTGTTCTCTCTTTTTCTTCCCACTAGATCGAGACATCTCAGAGGACATAGCAGGCGAGTAGAAAAGCCAAGAATGAACAAAATACCCATGGCACACAGGTTTTCACACCGCGTCATCAATACTTGGAACCTGCTGCCTGAAGCAGTGGTGTCCACACCTTCAATTGACTCTTTCAAGAGAAGACTGGACACTCACAGAAGCATACTAGAAAAGGAAAAACACGGGCCGTAGGCCTTCTGCCCTTACTACACAAATCTGAATCTGAGGATCCTTATGAGAATATACCACTGGTACAGGCACTTCTCCTATGCTGTACCTATTAACTTTTGTATTCAAAAAGGGCATGTAGACACACTCTGCCTCGTCATTAAGCATCAGCCACTCTTTAGACTAGTTAATCATATTATTTAATTCTACCTGAAGAGCACATGAGTCTGTCTCCAGTTATTACTCGCCAGATCTTTACATCATCAGCGTATAATAACATTGGAGACTGTACTATACTTGGTAGATCATTAACATACATTACAAAAAGTAAAGGACCTAGGACGGAACCTTGAAGTACTCCACTAAGTACTGGTCTCCAGATAGAGCACTTGAAATTTATTCCTACTTTCTGTCTACGACCTACTAGGAAATCCTTAATCCATTTTAAAAGAGGTCCGGCAATACCAAGGTTTTCCAACTTCAATAGCAGTCTACTTGTTGGCACCTTGGTAAATACCTTACTGAAGTCTATGTCGACATCATCCACTGAGTTTCCATTGTCTGGCTCATTTATCCGATGCTCCCTTGCTATAAGGAGGTTTGTTGTGCGAGATAAACCCTTTCTAAAATCATGTTGTTCTCTGTTTAACAAGTTGTTGGTTCCCACAAGTGTCCTTATGACCTTTTTGACTATTCTTTCCAGTACTTTAACTACAACACTGGTGAGGCTGACAGGTCTGTAGTCCGATGTGTGGGAGTGACGATCGCATCCTTCCAGTCCATAGGTAACCTTGGTCACCCTGGTCAAGTGACATATTGAATATCACGGTCAGTGGGGCTGCGATATACTGTGCAATATGTCTCGGGATTTCGGGGTGTAGTTCATCTGGTCTTTTTGACTTTTCCATGTCTAAGTGGTCAAGAGCCTTATGTACATTGTTTAAATCAAAGTTCACAGTCAGCAGTTGGTTTGTTGACTTTGTATTTGAGTCTACTTCTTCATCTGGTTCGAGAGTGAAAACTGTCCCAAAATAGTCAGTCATAGCCTCTGCGTTGTTTCTGATCTTCCTCTATCATTTTAGATCCTCTTCCTCCTTTACTTAGGTTGGGAATCCAATAATGCACCCTTATTCTCTAGTATATGTACGAGAATATTCACTTAAGATTCACTTAACTTATGAAAAATGACTGACCTGTCAGCGAGGTCCGTCTTAACATTTTCTGGAATGTTGATTACTGAAATCGTCTCTTTCTTGCAATCTGATTCCAATTCGGCGTCAAACACAGAGGTCACATTCTGTTTTCTTGCTTTTCTTTCCTGTGTGTGACTGTGAGCCAATTAATTAACTTATTTTGTCGCTTGAACACAAAGTTTACACCGATAAAACTTCTCTTACTCGCAGTTTCGTAGATTCACATGCCTTAAAACTAACTATAAATAATTTATTCTCAGCGCGCTTTTTCTTTTTGCTAGTGACAATGCCTACATCAGTATGTCTGTTATCTGCTTGCCTGATGAGATCCACCTTTATGGTCCTGTTCAGATCCAGAGCTGGGCTCATGATAACCCTCTCTATTTCCTCGAAAGCAGAATTATGCCAATCTACTGCTGCTTGTTTATCTGAGGGCAGTTTTCTAGCTGTGTTCAGCAG